GACCTTTTCCAGTCCTGTGGCCACTGCTGAGTTTTCCAAATTTGCTGGCATATTGAGTGAAGCACTTTCACAGCATCATCTTTCAGGATTTGAAATAGCTCAACTGGAATTCCATCACATCCACTAGCTTTGTTTGTAGTGATTCTTTCTAAGGCCTACTTGACTTCACATTCCAGGATGTCTGGCTGTAAGTGAGTGATCACACCATCGTGATTATCTGGGTCGTGAAGCTCTTTTTTGTACAGTTCTTCTGTGTATTCTTGCCACCTCTTCTTAAAATCTTCTACTTCTGTTAGGTCCATACCATTTCTGTCCTTTATCGAACCCATCTTTGCATGAAATGTTCCCTTGGTATCTCTAGTTTTCTTGAAGAGATCTCTAGCCTTACCCATTCTATTGTTTTCCTCTATTTCTTTGCATTGATCTCTAATCAGTGATCAGCAAAGTTGTATTAACACTCTCAAAAGAAGAACTGTGAAACTGAAACTCTCAGAAAATATTTCTTCTGTTTTATTTTCTACAACATCAGGTACAGTGCAGTGCTCAGTTGTGTCTGAGTCTTTGCAACTCACAGACTGCCAGGCTCCTCTGTCCATGGAATTTTTTAGGAAAGAATACTGGGTCAGGTTGCCACTTCTTTCTCCAGGGGATCTTCCCCACCCAGGGACTGACCCGAGATCTCCTGTGTCTTCCGCATTGCAGGCAGATTCTTTACTGCTGAGCCACTGGGAAACCTGATCCAGATGCCCTCTACTTTCTAAGTCTTTGGCATTTCTTCTTTCTCTCCCAATCAACCCTTCTTTTCATTCTCTTGCTCTTTTTTTTTTTTAATGAGCCTTAGACAATAAATCAAACAAACATTTTTCAGCAGCTCAAAGTAGGAATAATAAGTCTAAGAGCAGTATTTGTGATAAACTGAAAGCAAGGAAATGAAAACTCCCCAGGTTTCAAGCTATTAGACACAGTGGAGAAATAGAGTCTTCAACCCTCAGAGCTTTAACCAACCTAGAAGACCCCTTCCATAGCCCTACCTGGGTTTTCCATCACAGCCTTATTATAGGTTTTTCATCCTGAACCAGAATTAAAGATACATTAAAAACTATTTTGGAGGAGATGATGAGATGGCAGAGCAGTAGGTGGACTCATATATCTGCGCTTGCATCAGGAATACATCTTCAGATGCAGAGGATCTCACAGAGCACCAGCTGAGAGCTGGCTGGAGTCCCTGACCACCAGAAGGGAATACATAGATTGACAAAAAATTTGGTAGGCTGAGGGAAGGAAGGGAAAAAACAGAGAGTGAGTAGGACTGGACCCGAACCCATGGGGTGGAGGAACTGAAACAGGGGTGAAATCCCCACATCAGAGGAATAGTTTAGGACAAAGGGGAGGCATTTGAGGCTGTTGGGGGATGAAGCAGCTGATCTGTGAAGGTCTGAATGGAGTGAGAACCACACAAACAACCTGTGCAGCAGCCGTATATACACCAGAAAGGGACACAGGTCTTCCAGTATGCGCAGTGGCTGGGTAGGGACTGGAGAGCAATCCCAGAACAAGGATTGCTATTGACTGTGGGAGACATCCTGAGGGCATGTGAGGGAGGAGACAGAGGAATGTCCTTGGAGAAAAGCTGGGCAGCCCTGGAGGCCGGGTGATACTGCTGAGTCAAGAGAAGGGAGTAGCCTGCACTGTAGCCTCATCACTGTAGCCTCTCTCTCTCCCCACATATGATGCTAGCAGCTGATAGAGGAAGACCCCAGAGATGGTGGCCCTTTGAGTGCCTGCTGCACCAAGCACCATAGCAGGACCAGCCAAGGAAGCCCTTTGACCACCAGCTGCCAGAGGCTAGAAAAAAGACTCTAATAGCACTTTATATTCTGCACCTGTGGCTGCTGGCTTCCCTATACATCTGGTGCATCCAGGTTCCTTGAGATCCAAGCAGCTGGGTCACCTCCACACCCAGTCCTCACTGGGGTAGAGTTGCCAGAGGCTAGGGGAAAAAAAAACCCTTAATAGTGTGAAAATATCATGTACCCACGGCCACCGGCTTCCCTGCACACCTGGCACCACCAGGTTCCCCACAATGCAACCAGCTGAGCCACCTCAATACCTGGTCCTCACTGGGGCAGAGTTGCCAGAAGCTAGAAAAAACCCTAATAGAGCCGTATCTCCTGCACCAGCTCCTCCGCATACCTGGTGCTTCCAGGGTCTCTGATCCAAGCAACCACGCCACCTCCACACCCAGTCCTCACTGGGGCAGACCCAAGTCCTCCAGGGCAGCCTCAGGAGCAAACTCCAGTGGATGACCCATATACAGAGGTGGAGATAAAACCACAATTGAGCTCCAGGGGCAGAGTGGCTAAGGAAGAGGATTGAAAACCTTTCCACCAGCTGTACAAGCTACAGACTAAATCCACACTGTCAAGTAGGTAAACTCTGAGTCTTGTTGTTGTTTAGTTGATAAGTCATGTCCAATTATTTGTGACCCCATGGACTGTAGCCCACCAGGCTCCTCTGTCCATGGAATTTCCCAGGCAGGAATACTGAACGGGTAGCCATTTCTTCCTCCACGGGATCTTGTTGATCCAGGGACGAACCCATGTCTCCTGCATTGGCAGGCAGATTCCTTACCACTGAGTCACCAGGGAAGGCCTGTGGAGTATATAAAAGGACAATGAGTGTTCACACAAAAGAAGAAGCCTTAGCTCTGGCCACTGTGGACATTGGAGGCAAGTACACACAGGAATAGGGCTAGATTAGAGTCTTTACTGTCCCTACAACAGATCCAGAGAACAGATGAGTTTTGGAAGAACTCCTAGGGAGGTGGAGGTGGAATTGCCACTCTATACATTTTCCTCCTTTCCTTTTCACCCTTTCACCTTTTCACCCTGTTTTTTTTTTTTCTTTTTCATATTATTTCATGTTCTTTTTTAAAATTATCCCTTAAATTTTTATTTTTCATAACCTACTTTTTCCATTTTTTAAAATGTCTTAATTTTAAATAAATTCATTTTTACGCTATTCTCGATTGCTCTCTTCTTTTTTTAAATCCTTTTTTTCCCTCTGTTTTCTCTCTTCTTTTCCCTTTGTAAGTGTGTGAGTTTCTTTGGGTGTTCTTGGCTATTGAGTGTTGGTTTCACCTTGGCTATTGTGGGGTTTTATCTTCTGTGTTATAAGGCCTGTGAAATCTTGGTGCCACAGTAAGGGATCAGGCCTGAACCCCTGAAGTGGGAGACCTGAGTACAGGACTTTGGACCACCGGAAAACTCCCAACCCCATGGGACATTAATTGACAAGAGCTCTCCCAAAGGCCTCCATCTCAACACTAAGACCAAGGCTCACCCAAAGGCCAGAAAGCTCTAGTACCAGACACTTCATGCCAAATCACTAGCAAAAAGAAACACAGCCATGCCCATTAGCAGAAACGCTACCCAAAGCTATACCAAGCCCATAAACACCCCAAAACACACTGCTGGACTCAGCAGTGCCCCTCAGAGAGACAAGATCCAGTTCTATCCACCAGAACACAGGCACAAGTCCTCCCAACAAGGAAATCTTTACACTGGTCCAACCTCATTCACAGGGGGCAGACTCCACAATTAAGAGGAACTATAAT